CCAGTCGCGCGGTTAGCTGCCGGGCGCGCTGCTGCCGCTGTGTGCGGACAGTGCGGCCACGGCCGGCCCTTGCAGGCCGTCCGACAACAACTTCAAAACAAACTGACCTCAATTAGCATAATATGAACACACGAACGTATTTATACTGAAAACATGAAGTTTTCTCGATGGACTGAACTTGGCCGCGGCGGACGCACCGTGTGCCGCCGACGGCGTTGAGCCGTTTTACGACCGAACTCACTTTCTTCTCGGCAAAACATACTGAACTGAACAGGAACATAACTTACTGAACATAATAACACATAGTGCTCAAAGGATAGAACTTAACATGCAACAACACGCGTACGGCCCGTGATGCGCACTATATGTGCGACCACATCCCTTCGGCCGAAACACCGCAAAATATGACTAATCATCTGAACACTTAAACCAATCTAAACATGATATTGCATATAAAGGCGAAACATGCGAGGGTTGATCGGAGAATTCAACTTAGAATATGACATAACTAGGCACGGCTTCTCGCACGACCTTAACGGTATAAGACACGCATGATCGCCTAAACTGAAAACTGAGCTTAATAGACGTGATAATCTCAGCCTACAACGACATGGAATTTACCTCCGATTATGCTCTACTGACGGCACTACTTCGGATTCCCTTATTCGTGTGGCTCTCCGTGAGCGATGCGACGCCGTGCAGTACCTTGCGGCATAGCGTGTGATGGCTTGCGGTGCGTGCGACGGACTGCTACTACACGGGCGGGTGCTTGCGTGCGCCTGGTTGCCGTTCGGTGCACTGACTGCCGTAGAGTACTGCTGCTACGCGTACGGATGCTTGCTGCTTGCGTGCGTTAGCCGTGTATACAACACTCGAACTATACTAACTCTCTTACTCTCACTCTCTCAATATGAAGGCTGAAGATGGGAATATATGTTGAACTTAAACGTGTAGAGAAGATGGGAAATTTTCCTCCAAACACTTCCTTATATATGGCACCGAATGGAGAGACTTAAGATGAGGTTATCTTAGCTAATGACACTTGTAACAAGCATAAATAATGCTTAAATGACTAAGCACTTATTAGCTTAGGAAAGTGCCACGTTTAAAGTCTTAGAAATGAAGTAAAATTTGGATAAAACACAACATTTCCCACTTAATTGTACGGCCATTAGCATGAATTTGGGAACTTTCCCACTAACTCACCTCAATTTAGCTTACGGCTTTTGATAAATTTAATTAGAAATTACCGAACGGATTAATGACTAATCTTGGATTAATTATTAATTAATCCCTCAATTATGTTTAATTATTCAATTAAACATAATGTTTAATTACCAAAATTATTCCGAACGTAAACGATACGTCGAAAATAATTTTCGATAATCTCGACTGAAATGACTGAAAATAATTAATTCCGAAAATTAATATCGGAACTAATAACACAATTATACTGATAAAATGACGGGATATTACAAATTTAGTTTATGTATTATGTATATGAATTCATCAGGCATGGTTGTTTTCGGATAAAATTGATTTAGGACCCATTTAAGGTTTGAATTAAAATATTCGGCACTTCTGGATTAATTTAAATAGATTGATCCATTTAAGTGCTAAAGATTGTTGTATTTTGTAATTCATGCGTGTATTGATTAATTCAAATGTGAACTTATACATGGCCGAATTACAAACATACTTGTGATGATAAACATGTGTCAATTATTTGGTTGTACATATGAGCGATAAATTGGCCCAAAAGAAAATTTATTGTTTGATATGTTATTATTGTCAATGTTTAATCACTACACTAAGATATCAATTACAAGTTAATATTTATCCAAAAATGAAATATTAATGGAGTTATGATGTCTTGAGATAAAGTTACCCTTATTTAAGTATGTTATTTTAAATGAAATAAACTCTTACTTTAAGGCAAATGCTCTCCTGATATGGGATATTATATACTCAAGGATAAACCGGTCTACTCCACCGGTTGAGAAGATCAAACTAGGAGGAAGGCAACACGAGAAACGGGAGAATCGATCATGCATATAGTCGACCAGGCAGGTGGTCGACCAGTCCATCACACGATCAGACAAGTGATCGAGCAACCCATCGCTCGACCAGATACATTATCGGGCAACCTATTCGACCTCAACAGGTCGATCGCTTCGAGGAACCAACAGTCGGCCTAGTCATGGGCGCGTGTATCACGGGCGCGCGTAAGAGCCTCTAACTGAGTCCCAGGAGAATATTTATCCCATGTGCAGGGGGGACACGTGTCGACAATGTATTGGGTGATAGCGATAACCACCTCTGACAGCTCCCAACGCCCTGCGCCACCTCTGACATGTGCGCGGCGTGCCAGAGTACGGACGAGCAGCTTGGGCAGCCAGCTCATCTTTATCCGACAGCTATTAGGGTAGGTATCTCACCCCTATATAAAGGGGGTGAGCCTTTTTCCTTGAACACATTCTATTTTTCCATCATTCACTTCAGTATACTCATACACATATTGACTTAAGCATCGGAGGCTCTTCACCGGACACAACCCCCGGTGTGAGAGTTATTTGCAGGTTTCCGGCGTTCTACCGGCGAGGACCAAGATCTAT